GAGGGGGCCGGTGGGGCGGGGCACCCGGGAGCAGCCCCTTAGCGCGCTCTGTCAGTAGAGGAGTACCGCCTGCCTCAGGGGAGTCGGGGGCCACCGGGCGACTTTGAATATGTAACGGAAAACGTGCTTTGTACCGGGGCGGGCGTTGGGACGGGCTGCCAGGGGGTGGTGCTGCTCCTTCCCAGCCTCTTTCTGTGGAGAGCCCTCCTCTGAGCTGGGAGCTGATCCTGCTTGGAGCGGGAGACTGACCCCGGGATAGGGCCCTGCCAGCTTGAGGCAGCCAGAGATTGTCTGAACAGTCTCAAGAGATGGCAAGAAAAGTTGCTTAAACTTCTGAAATAAAACTAGTTGCTATGGAAAGCTGGTGACTGCACTTCTGTTTCACTTGTGGTTGTTAGATCTGAGGCAGAAGCTCTTCCCTGTGAGGGTGCTGAGGCGCTGGCACAGGGTGCCCAGAGAAGCTGTGGCTGCCCCATCCCTGGCAGTGTTCAAGGCCAGGTTGGACACAGGGGCTTGGAGCAACCTGCTCTAGTGGAAGGTGTCCCTGCCCATTGCAGGGGGTTGGAGCTGGATGAGCTTTAAGGTCCCTTCACCCCAAACCAGGCTGGGATTCAAAAGCTCTGCATGTTCTCCATCAGTGCTGTAGCCCATGCTCACATGTGGGCCCGGGGAGCATTTAACTCTTCTCTTGGAAAAAAAACCAGGATAAAGTGCCCAGCAGTGCTTGGAGCTGTTCATAGCTAGAAGGTGGGGAATCTATCTCCCTTGCCCTCTGTAATCTTCCTAACTCTGACATGATGTACAGGTTGTTTTGTCTTAAACACATCCTGCTTAAAACCAGATGCAGTAGTAATAGGTATATTTAGAGTAGTTCATTACATGAATCTTAACAAGCTGGTAAATTAATCAATGAGCTGTAAAGAATGATCTAAATTCTAGCCTGGCAGAAGTGGTGTACAAAATCCTGCTTTACCACGTTAAGAAGTGTGATTTGTAACATTATGGAGGAGTGTTACCATGAGGTTAGCTAACTAAGCCTGACATACCACCACTCCAATAGCTGTGCTCCATCACTCCCCAACAGGCATTCGTCCTTTGGAGATCCCTTCTCCTGCACTCCCATTTCTTCAAGTCCCTCCAGGCCAGAAGATGCCTGTGCTGTAGCTGACTCCCAGTTCCATACACATGTATCTGCTGAGCATGAGTCTGTGTGGTGCTGGGTTCCCTTCAGCATGAGTGCTAATTGGGATGCATGTCTTCAGCCTGCACAACAGCATAAACCTAAACATCAATGTTTCTGTCCAGTTTTTGTCCAGAATTTGTTGATGATGGCAGAACTCCGGGAGGGTGTGGGGTTAGGGAAGGGATGTACATGTGCCCTAGAATTGTTCAAACCTATTTCCTTATTAAACCAGTTTAAAATTGTAGTTAGAATCTGAAGGTTTGTAACTGTTTGAGCAAGGCCATCATGTAATTGTACAAAACATTTCCACTGTTTAAGCCAAGTTTCATCATCACTATGTAAGGAATTGCAATCTCTGACCTTCCCTCATCCCATGCTTGTCAGAGGAAGCCAGGACACACCAACTGCTGTTGTTTGGCTCCATATACTCAGTGTGTTTGACCTTTAAATTGAAAAGAGGGGGATGTTCACAATTTGACACCTTTTCTTATTAGTGGTCATTTTATTATTTCTATATCAGGTGTCCCTCATCCATCAACGATGAAATGACTTCAGTCTCTGCACAGAACGCACTGTCCAGAAGAGCCAAAAGCGTTAGAATAAGTGTAAGTATTTTACCTTACAAAAAGCCTTTCTGCCAGAACCAGGTTAGTGCTGCTGGTGGATTTTTGTAGGATTTGCAATTGCATCATGCCATTACCTCAGCCAAAGCATCGAGCTCAAAGATGGTGGCTTTAATCTTGCATCTCTAGGCTTTTCCGTCTTGTGTTAGGTATTGCTTAAGGTTATGCTCTTTTCCTGAAGGTTAAAGAAATACTGTGATCCAAAAAGCTTTTAAGCATTTGTTTAACTTCAAAAAGACACTTCAAACTGGTATGAAATTGTTTACAGGGTCAGGGTTCTGGGATGGAAGGATCTGATGGTTTCTTGTTGATTTTTCTGAAATAAACTGTTAAATGAATGCTCCTCTTCTTCTCCCTTCAAATTTCTCTTCATAATCAGATGGTGTTGGTTACTGGAACCTTACTTGCTTGCTTGCTCAAAGACTTTGAACTCCAATGACTCTTTCAGACACCTGCTGTCAATCCAACTGTATTTGGTCTTTTTTAGCAATGTTCAAAGCAGAAAAAAACAGAAGCAGATAAATTATTTGTATTAATCCCAGCTTTCCAGCGAAATAGTGTGCAGTTCAAAATGGCAGATGATACTGGAAGAAAGCTCAAACTTTAACCAAGGCTGGCCATTTTTGTGGCACAGAGGGAAGTGTTGTTATTTCCAGTTTCCTTATCCACAGGTTTCCTTCCATTGTCTTGCCCTTTCCCGTTTGTGGGAGAAGAGCCATGAAGAACCGTTCCTCATCTCCCCCTTTGCACGTCCATGTGGATGAAAACACCCCTGTCCATGTCCATATTAAAAAGGGTCAGAAAACCACACCTGCAAAATGCCAGGTAGGAGTGTGTAGCTGGCTGTTTGTAAGAGCTACAAAGAGGAAGGTGAATGGTCCTCGAAGCACCACACCATCTACAAGGTCTGTTTTACTGTTGTGTTGGAAGTGTAAGACTTGAATTTGTGTTCAGTGGTGGATTTTCAGTGACATATGTTTAAGGCGTTTTAAGTATGATACAGGATACATACTTCTCATGTTCAAGTATGTGATTGTGAGGGCTGTTGCTTCCAATGTGAAGTAGTTTGAGAGATTTTTTTTTTCCCCTTGTATTTCCTGGATTTGTGTCTTGATAATGATTTTTCTTTGGCTTCATCCTTATTTTTGTAGGAAAGGTCTGGGGAAAGGTAACATCTAGGTGTTCCAACTATCATCTTGATTGTGTTAAAATGCATGTGGTTAGGGAAAAAAGAGTCTTGATTCAAATCGTCATCTGGCATTAAGCACCTTCATGATCTGCTGCACTATGCAGCAAAGAAAATCTCTTCATAGCCTTGTCCACAGCAGGCTGAAGGCAGGACTGAAGTTGAGTTCCTAGTTATCTCCTATCCTCTTTTGCAGCTGGATGTTTACGTAAAGGTGATGCTCATTCCTCCTTAGGTGCAGCCATCCTGTTTTAAGTCCTCTATTAATTTTGTGTTTGTTGCTAATGGTGCATATCTTAATGATGTAGGGCCTGAACAGTGAAATCAATGACTCCTATTAATTAATTGCCTGTAGGGAATATTTAGAACATCAGATTTTTCTCTGAAGGTCAGAATTGTGCAAAACCACTTGAACTTCCCTTCAGTCAGAGCACTTCAAGTTCAGTGCAAATAAATGTCCATCTATTAGTTGACTGCAAAGCAGGAAAAACACTTCAGAGGCTTTTCAGAACCAATCACACTGTTCTTATTTTTCTCTGGTAGTGCTGTTATCACATGATTTATCTGCTCTTTCATGAGACACATTTGGAATGGAAAAGGGATCTCTGAGGTTGCTCCTTCTTCATGGGAAGGGTTGTATTGTGATATTTTCTTGTGTATCTCCATACAGAGAAGACTTCCTTCTCCCCTGCCCCAGTCTCCCCCCCTGGCCTGCTGGGTAAGGCTCTCATCACATCACAAGTGCAGGTATCCCAGGTATATCACAGAGCTGCTTTTTGATAGACAAGAACATTCTGTCAGCTGAATGTGCAATAACCTTTCCTTCAGGCTGGTGTTAGCCTCCTCTGATGGCTGCTGGCCGGTCTTCTGTGATGTGTCATGCATAACACGGTGATATTTTTGTATGAATCATCTTTTAGTTGGCTTTGTAGTACTAAAAACTGTAAATGGTGCTTTAAAAGTCTGTGATTTATTTTCTCTTTTTTTTCCTTTTTCCAGCAAAAGCACAAGCAGAAAGTGAAGGGGGATACTGTGAATGTGTGTCGAAGTGTCCGGGTGAGAACGAAAGCCCCCTGGGTACCCCCAGGCAAAACATCTGTCCGGGAGTCCACCTGCAGATGGGAGGTATTGCCTGAGTTTGCTCTTTAAAACAAACTTTCAGGCCTATCTGAGGTTAAAGAGAGTTGATGTATAGTGGGGGAGCTGGGCTGATCTCATTTCTGATTGCTCGTGAGACCTCACTTGGAGTATTGTGTACACTTCTGGTGTCCTCAACATAAAAAGGACACGAAGCTGTTGGAGCAAGTCCAGAGGAGGCCACGAGGATGATCAGGAGCTGGAGCACCTCCCATATGGAGACAGGCTGAGAAAGCTGGGGCTGCTCAGCCCGGAGAAGAGAAGGCTGCGTGGAGACCTCAGAGCAGCTTCCAGTGTCTGAAAGGGGCCTATAAGGATGCTGGGGAGGGACTCTTCGTTAGGGACTGTAGTGGTAGGACAAGGGGTGATGGGTTCAGACTTAAACAGGGGAAGTTTAGATTAGATATAAGGAAGAAGCTCTTCACTGTGAGGGTGGTGAGGCACTAGAATGGGTTGCCCAATGAAGTTGTGAATGCTCCAACCCTGGCAGTGTTCAAGGCCAGGCTGGACAGAGCCTTGGGTGACATAGTTTAGTGCAAGGTGTCCCTGCCTGTGGCAGGGGGCTTGGAACTAGATGATCTTAAGGTCCTTTCCAACCCAAACCGTTCTATGATTCTATGAAAGAAGGCTACTGTCACCTACCACCCGTTGAGTCTTCTATAAATCTTTTTCACTCTTTAATGCAGAAAAATAGGAACTTAATTATTAGTCTGTGCCCATATCATGCTTTTCTGCCTCTATAAGCCAGACAAATTTCTTGGTTTATTGTAGCTTTGCTAGTCCCCTTCAAGATCTTACCTGGAGGCACAGCGAGGTGCTGCTGTTCTTGGAGTATTTGTGTAGTGTGTTCTCCTTTGTGTGGGTTGACAGGTTTTCCTTTTGCATTCATGGCTTTTCCTAGATGAGAACTTGAGCTTTCATTATTTTTTCTTCTTTTGCTGTCCAAGTCTTTCTGCATTCTTGACCTTTCCCCCATGGAAATGAAAGAGCTGTTGACAAGTTATTTTTCTCTAGCAGCCTTATTGCTGTGATACAACCTGCTCTCTGTGTTTGGCAGAGTTAGGGTTAGAATGCTGTTTCTAACTTGCTGGTGTTTCCTACCAGGGACCAGCTCACCACCTAGAAGCTGCACCTCCAGATTCAGACAAAATGCCATCAGCGTTGCACCTGAGCGACCTCTCCACAGATGAGGAAGATGTTGTTTGCTGCAGAATGAATGAATATGAAAAGAAGATAGATAGCCTCATAAATGCAGTGGGAATGATGAAGGAGGTGAGGATATGGAGGAGGCAGGAGTCAAGTCTTGGTGCAATAACAGACTACCCAGGCCACTGGTAGCTTGTTTGAAGTTGTTTAGAAGAGCTGAACTATCCTACTGAGAAATTACTAAGCCCTACTCTGCAACATTGTAAAACCTTATCCATTTAATAAGGTGTTGCTGTGCTTCAGTTTCCAAATAATCTCTTTTCTGCCTAAGCCCAAAGTCTGAAAACTGGTTATTCTAGAAGGTGAAAAATACAGTATATTGCTGTTTTGGTGTCAAATAATCCACTTAAGAAGATTGTTTCTTCTCATTCTGTTTAAAAATGTGCAACCCACTGATGATGTGTTTTCCAGATAAGTAGTGTCTTATGTACTTGACACCGCTTAAAAAACAGGTAGGAGATGTTCCCAGATGCATTATGATGTGGGCAAACTGCATTTTTAACTTTGAGTTAACACTGAGGGTAGCAAATCTTAAGTATTATTAATTTACCCAAAACCATAACATTCAAATCAATGAACAAGAATAGGATTTGAGTCACACAGATTCTTGCATTGAGCGTTCTCCATTTTATTTATGGTACAGAATTTAATGGAATCACTTGCATAACTAAAATAGAAGACCACTTTGATACTTTTAATAAGTTAATTGAATCTAAATGTTTGGTGTTGTCACTTAAATCCAGGGGGTAAGATCACATGAATGTTGTTAGCTTTGATTCTGTGCAAGCCAGGGAATCTCCAGTGGCTTTTTGCTGCAAAAAGAAAAACCCAAGTGTGGTGCAGTGGTTCAGCCCCCTCTGTGTTCTCTCTTTCTTCACATCTACAACTGTTTATAGCACTCTTAACTGCCAAGTGGGGTACATGTGTCATTCATGGGGAGCAGTAGCCTACTTCTGAGCCCCATTCAACTCTTAAGTAAGTACATACACAACTCCAGTCACACTACCAGCAGTGACACTGAGCTGCTACAGAGCAGGTAGATGAAAACAAAATGCCAGGGACTATTTAGGTTGATTTCAGCCAGTTCCATGGATCTCCCAAAGCAATAGTGGAGCAATAGGAGCCATCTCCAGTGTGTTAACTGCCACCAGAGCTCTTTTTCTGCCACGTTTGAGGCCTTTCTCATGTCTCATGGCTGATGACGATTTATTGGCATGTGACTTAAAGCCAGGACCCCGTGTTTGTGGGATGGGAGATAATTCAAGGCAATGGCTCAATTATGCCCTTTGTGCACAGGAGCAGCCCGGAAATATCTAGGGAGAGGGAAGGAAAAAACCCCAAGAAAAAGCCTGATCTGCTGTTGTTTGCAGCTCAGTAGCTGATTCAGTGCTTTGAGACATGGATTCTGTGTATTACTTTAAAAGCACCTGGTTTGTCTTAAGTTCTATTTAAATATCTCCATCAGGCCAAGATGCAGGAAAAGGAGGAACACAAGCAACTGACAGAGCGTCTCCTGGAGGAGCAGAAAGAGCAACTCAATGAAGTCACACAAGAGTTGGTAGAAACAGAACATGAGAATACGCTGCTCAGGCGCAATATGGAGCGCATAAGGGAAGAGAAAGACTTGACTATGTAAGACAGCTCCATTCTCCGTTGTTACTCCAAGTAGTAGTATTTACAGGGCAATACCTCCTTTACTGCTAACGTTATTTGAGGTTGTAGTTTGTATGTTGGGTCACAGTGCTGCTCAAGAGCTGATGGTCTTGGGAGTTTTTGTCACCTTTTAGAAGGGGAACCTCAGTGGCAATAGGTGCAGAGAAGGGCTATAGGATGATTATTGGAATGGAAAAAACTACTCTTGAGAGGAAGCTGAGAGTAGTTGGCTTGTGTGGCCAACAGGAGGGTCATCCTAGCTCTGCAGTTAATATTTTGAGGGTTAAGAGATGCTGTTTGAATTGTGATGATATTGGTAGAACAATAAATGAATAAACATGAAACTGAAAACTAGAGGTGACAGCCCCTGAGAGGGCTGAATCACGGGGTTTCTCTTAATCCAATCAACTGTATATCAGTAGTGGCTGGTACAACTGTCAAAGCTTCTTGTTTCTCTGATGGCTGAATTCTCATTACAGGATAGAGAAAAAGTACCTGCAGCATGAGAAGGAGTGTTTGATGTCCAAGCTGGGCGAGGCAGAAAGGGATGCAGCAGCAGCCGCCAGGCAGATCCGTGCCCTGGAAAATACAATTGGGAGGCTCAACATTGTAGGTGTTGTCTGTTTTTGTTCTTGCCTTTACTATGTTGTCCTGTTATATGGCTGTCTTAAAAATGTAATGTGACAATTGTTTCTCTTGATAAGTGGAGGGATTTAACATGCTTAAGGTGTTTCTCAGTTTTGTTTGGAAGTGGGGTATTTACTTGCAGCATCCAGTCACCTTCTGCACACGTGGTGCTCACTATTGCACTGCTTGTGCTTGTATCAGCTTCACACATTCCATGTGAACAATGCTTTTCCTTTTTTTTCATCTTCTGTAGGAGAAGCACATGAGCAGCTCAGACATTAATGCACTGACAAGGCAAAAAGAACTTCTGCTCCAGAAATTGACCACCTTTGAAGAAACCAACCAGACACTACGACAGCTTCTCAAAGAGCAGCACAACAAGGAGGTGAGCTGTACTGTGTGCCTGAGCTTGGCTGATTACAGGAGGCTATGTCATCTTGGGAGCTGAAATGCAGTTTGAGAGCTTTGAATGCTTTTTCCCAGCCCTGCTGTTGTCTCTGTGTCATAAAGGATGGATAGGCTTTTTTGTGGTTTTGTTGGGTTTTTATCCCTATAAGGCTGACTTTTCTGCTGTGAGGATGTTAGAGCATCTAAGTCTTTGACTGTATTAAAAGGTATAAGCTCTGCTGTGTTGTCAGTTCTTTCTCCTCTGGATACAGCTGACTGTGCTAGTGTGAAATGTTACTGGTGCAGTTGAATTGGCTGACATCTGAGGACTAGATGTGACCTTAGTTAATGGGAGCCTAAGGATATTCAGAACCTTATTTTGTAGGTTCTAAGAGCAGTAACAAAGAGATTGTAAACAATTCTGTCCTGCTTGTTCAGAACAATTCTTTACTGCTTGTAAGAGCAATACAGAAGTGAAATTGCTATTCTTTCTTTAGTTTATATTTTATATGTATTTTTATATTGGTGCTTCTGGATATCTGCTGAGAATTGCTGCTGCAGCTGGGGACAAATGATTGACTTGCCCAGTTCCATTTAAAGTAACTGTCTGTAACTGACTTTTTAGTTAATAATTGTGTTAATAATACATAAGTCTTATGTATTTCTTTTGTAGAAGGATGCTCAGAAGTTAATGGCACGGCACAAAATACTACTGAAAAGGCTGGCTGACTCAGATGCAGAGAATGTGGTAAGCAAAACACAAGCTTTTTGTTGTTGGGGTCTTTGTTTTGTTTTTTTCATAGCCCTTGAAATATAGGGGCTTAGAATGGGGATAACATAGGTGAGACCTTCATGAAGAACACCATTAGGATTTACAGTATTCAGCTATATAGAAGAACTTAAGCCTGTCCTTATTGTGTTTAAGAACAGATGATTGTGAGGGTGGTGAGGCGCTGGCACAGGGTGCCCAGAGAAGTGGTAAATGCTCCATCCCTGGCAGTGCTCAAGGCCAGGTTGGACAGAGCCTTGGGTGACATAGTTTAGTGCAAGGTGTCCCTGCCCATGGCAAGGGGGTTGGAACTAGATGATCTTAAGGTCCTTTCCAACCCAAACCATTCTATGATTCTGCTTACCTTTTCTTATAGTACTGAATGTACAAAGCAATAATTGTACTACATGTTTCTTTAAAAAGAAAACCCTGGGGGTGGGAGGAAAAAAATACCTACTGTAGAAATAAATGTCCCTGATGCTGAGGATAGAATTCTTCAGTTTTGAAATTATCTTATCGTTCCTGTATGTTTATCATGTTATCTTTAGGGATAGCCAACAGATCAATACCTGGCTCCAAGCCTGGTGTCACCAGTAGAATTTTGGGGGTGTGGACCGTGGGTTGGTTCACGTGACACCAGGCCTGCTGGCAACAGGCCTGTCCCAAAGGGGAAAAAGGATCTTCACATGGGAGTTAGCAGGGTTTGTTGAAAGAGCTTTAAACTAGATTTGAAGGGGAACAGGATAAAACCAATGTTTGAGGAACAGCGTGCTAGCGAGGTGCTTTGGTCTGCCATCTCAGAGGAGGCAGGGGATGGAGATCCGTGTGGCAGCAAAGACATAAGAGTTTGTGTTAGAAACCACAGAAGAGCCTGAAAATGGTCATGTAGGAATTGGGGTTTCTCCCCCTAGAAAGGCAGCAGGATCAATAGTCCAACTGAAGCGCATCTACACGAATGCATGGGCAACACACAGGAGGGGCTGGAAGTCATTGTGCAGCAGGAAAACTACAACATAGTTGTCATCATGGAAACATGGACAACTGGAGTGCTGCAATGGATGGCTATAGAAGGGATAGGCAAGGAAGGAAAAGTGGTGGGGTAGATCTATGTGGTTTGGTTGTCTAGAGCTTAATGATGGTGATGATAGGGTTGAGTGAGAAAGTTAGAACAGCCAAAGCCCAACTAGAACTTAATCTGGGTACTGTCATAAAAAGCAATAAAAAATGTTTCTATAAATACGTTAGCAACAAAGGAAGGCTAAGGAGAATCTCCATCCTTTATTGGATGTAGGGGGAAACCTAGTGACAAAGGATGTGGAAAAGGCTGAGGAGCTTAATGCCTTCTTCGCCTCAGTCTTTAATAGTAAGACCAGTTGTTCTCAGGGTACCCAGCCCCCTGAGCTGGAAGACAGGAATAAGGAGCAGAATGAAGCCCCATAATCTAAGGGGAAATGGTCATCTTTTGTCTATACAAAAGATGCCCTGGTGAGGCTGCACCTTGAATTCTGCGTTCAGTTATGGGCCCCTCACTACAAGAGAGATACTGAGATGCTGGAACATGTCCAAAGAAGAGCAATGAAGCTGGTGAAGGGCCTGGAGCACAAGTTTTATGAGGAGCAGCTGAGGGAACTGGAGTTGTTCAGTGTGGAGAAAAGGTGGCTCAGGGGAGACCTTATCACTCTCTACAACTACCTGAAAGGAGTTTGTAGTGACGTGAGGGTCAGTCTCTTCTCCCAAGAAACAAGCAATAGGACAAGAGGGAATGGCCTCAAGCTGCACCAGGGGAGGTTTAGACTGGATATTAGGAAAACTTTCTTCACCAAAAGGGTCGTCAAGCATTAGGACGGGGTGCCCAGGGCAGTGGTGGTGTCACATCCTTGGAGGTATTTAACGCATGTGTAGATGTGGCCCTTAGGGTCATGATTTAGTGGCTGACTTGGCAGTGCTGGGTTAATGGTTGGACTGGATCTTAAAGGTCTTCTCCAACCTAAATGATCCTATGGTTTTGTGAAAAGCACAAAGAGGGGAAGCTCTCTGTATCTGCTTCTGTCACTGAATGAGTGATCTGGTGCCAGTTTTTGTTCATTTCCTTACCTGTAAACTGAGAAAAAGAGTTCTTACATTGCCAGAAGCTATAAAATTTGCTGTGAGACAGGTAATGCCCTTTTTTATCTGTGGGATATATGATCCTGTCAGGTCCTTGCTCTTGACTGAGTATTTTATGCCCTGTTACACAAGTGTTTGTACCCTTTCTGCTTGAGGAGAATGCAGCCTGTTTTTCTGTTGCTGTGGATACCAGAGAGTGCCATGAATCAGAGTCGAGGGAGGGAGACAGTTACACCTCTTTTCCTCCACCTGCCAAACTAAATGTTTGTTACTTAACATCTAAGTGGTGGTTGTTTTCCCAGCAACTTCAGATGAAGCTTCAGGAGAAAGAAAAAGAAGTGGAGAGTCTTGCCAATCAGATACAGGCAGGAAAGGTAGTTCCCTTTTTCCATTTTCCCCTCCCTGTTCCACCTTTGAGTTCCGTAGAACCACACATAGTCCAAACTATGGATTTGGATTTGCGGAAAATTACTTTTTAAGGGATCAGATGACTGGCTTGCTTATAAAACTAGACGAACAGCTACCAGTTTCTACACAGTTGTGGATTCCTTATTGTGCTAATAAGCCATCTCTCACAAGGATGACTAGGTAGTATTCTCTTTGCTTGGGCTTATCACTGAGTTGCCTTTCTGTTTAAGATCCTGTTGGCTCCTGATGTCAAATTCCAGCCTGTTCCTCTGTTTAGTAATTTAAAGGGGAATGTAGTGGAAGAGATGCCATATGAAGGATGTTTTGCCCTAGAATAAATCTTTCGGGCCAGTCATTCACATCTGATTTAAAATAAATGGCTACTCATTTGTTCCCCATTTTGTTGGACTAGAAGAGCCGTGAGGGTCCATCTGAGGAAAGCGGAGGTGGCTGGAGACCCTTCAGTGAAGAAATCAGACTGTTAGGTTTTACAAAGTGTTCCCTCTGTTAGCTTGTTGAGGAAAAAGTCTGTGTCTTGTTGCTTCTTATTTAGGATCAAGCAAAGGCAGCAGAGGAACTCTCCAAATCTATGGAGGCTATGAAAGCCCATTTACAAGCCCAGTTGCGAGGCAAAGAAGCGGAGAACAACCGCCTGGCTGTGCAGCTACGGGTACGTTTGCAATGGTCCCTGGGGATCAGCTCTTCAGTTACTCATAAACTGAACTGACCACGACACGAGGGAAGTAGTATCTTGTTCAAAGTCTTATTTAAAGTATCTGTTGATGTTGTGATGATGTTATGATGAGTATGTGTGTTAATAGTTTAGAGGAGCTTTAATTCTGTTAAGGTATATAGCTGCATAAAGCAACATTATCATATGGGAGCAATGCAATTAATAAAGACAATGTTCTTGGGTAGATCAAAAGAATGGTAAACCAGTGTTTACCTTGGTCAGGAAAGGAAATAAGTATTCTAGAGAGTGGGTTATGAAAGAAGAAAGGAAGACTCTTGGAAGGAAAGCCAGACATGTCATGCTGACATGTCTTTCAATATTAGGATAGGATCGTGAAGGTGAAACCTGATTGCAAGAACCTCCAGGCTGAAAGCTGGGGCTTTATAGTCAGCTCTCTCTACCAGTTCTAGGAAATGAGTTGCTGCTTTGGGTATGCAGGTGTAAGGGCATTATTCCATATGGTGTTTTTCTTCCCTCTCCGCAGAATCTGGAGCGCGGTGAAGCTCAGTACAAGGCAGAGGTGGAACGTATCATGGAACAGATGAAAGAAGTAAAGCAGAAGGCAGATCGTGACAAAGAGGCCCTGAAGAAAGCCCTCCGTGCACAGAAAGAGAGGGCAGAGCGGAGTGAAGAGTATGCAGAGCAACTAACTGCCCAGCTAACAGAAAAGGTACCTGATAATACAGGAGAAGAGACCTCATTTCAAATCATGCATCTAAATCTTTGACTTCTGGTAGCAGCCCTGGGGGGAGTCTTTGCTTTCAACTAATGAGATTTATTTCTGTCTTGATGCCTTGGCCCATTTATGCTAAGTTTAGAACAAAACCAGTTTTTTCAGCTGTCACTGTATTCACTGCATGTCCTTAACTTAGGACTTGCCATAACTTAGATAATACTAAGCCAGCAGATCTGATTTTTGGTTCTTCAGAACAATCTGAGGGTTGACCACTGCCAATAAAATAAAGCCCTGCTATTTTGACTGAAAGCTCTGAATGGAGTTAGAGCAGAAAGGCAAAAAGACTGAAAGATATCAAGGAAAAGTAGAAAAGTCAGGACTGAGACAAATCAGAAGGGAACATGGATTTTGCACTACTTGATTATTTTTTTCCTATCCCTTGTTTTTTGAATCCCGGGGACAAGAGCCACTAGTAGCATCTTAGCCATGCCTTGTATTATCTGCATATCCCATATCCAGTGACATTTTTTGTTACCCTTGTTCTGTTCTTCCTGTATTTCTTTTGGTTGATAGGATGGGTATGTTGCTGAGGCACTGTCCACTCTGGAGACCTGGAGGAGCCGTCATGACAAAGCAGTGAAGGACCGGAGTGACCTCGAACTGGAGATTGTTACACTGACCAGGTTCAAATAAAACTAGTGTAGAGTAACAAGCATGAATGGGGATGTGTTCTAAGTTCAAGGATAATTTACCTGAAGTAAATAATACCATTAAACAATTTCATTGGATTGCCTGTAAATAGCCAAGCAAAACCAGCACTGCCTAAGGGCTAGAGGAGTGTTTGGGAACAGAGAGAGCAGAATAGTGATGTGGCTTCTGCTGCTGACTTGCCACAGCAAAGACAGACTTTTTAAGGGTTTGCTGACCCTTAAAACCCTGTTCCTTTGCAATTTTATAATGCTTTGAAAGAATTATGGTTATTTTTCTTTTGAGATCTATTTAAAAACTTGAAGGGATTAGAAGAAATAGGCAGTGTAGCTCATGTCAATTTTGTTGTGCAGGTCAATAAATGTAGTGTTATTACTGCAGTACAGTTGTTGCTGCAGGACAAAATAGGTAGGTAGGAGACAAGAGAAAGGTAGATCTTCCCCCTGTGTATCTTGAAGGCAATGCATTTGAGTTCTAAGAGGACAACTCAAGTTAATTTCCAGCAGACTAAGAAGATTGAGGTAGTAGAACAGTACAAAAGATAGGTGTGCATACGTGGAGGACAGGAAAAAATAGGATGAAAGGGTAGGAAAAAGCCGTGTTTCTGAAGCTAATGTTTAAGGGCTGGGAGTCTTACTCTTTCTTGTCACTTAAGCATAGGTTTTCTTTCTGTATGGCAGCCGTCTTGCAGACTTGCTGGAGGAGCAGGCAACTCAGGAGGACAAGGTGCGGGATTACAGAGATGTGGTGCCAGATAAAGTGCATCGACAGAATTCAGAGACCTCTGCTTTAAAAATGGAGAATGAAAGACTAAAGGTCAGTGATTTTAAGGGTTTGAAGCTGAAATGGTAGGGGGGGAAAAAAAGGGACACATTACAACAAGTTGCTTGGCCTCTGACAACAGAGTTGAATTGGACCCGTTGCTCCCGTTCACTTTCAAACCAGTTTCTCCATAACCTGAGTGTGATAGGACAAGTGTGCTGGGTAGAGACATAAAGGAAACATACATTCTGTGAGGACTGGGTTTCTTCCATGTTTTGGTTAGGAGGATCTCTGATCCAAGTACTGTTTCTTCCAGCTGGATTCTTACATCTTGTCTTTACGTCTTCATACTGCTTGCCAGAGAACAACCAACTGTAGCTCATGCAAGGGAGAGTGGTAATTTCCAGAACAAAAGAAAATGGCTGGCATATTTCTTCTGTCTTTTCTTACCACTGGTGATCTTGTAGGTAACCTACATCATTTTCTTCTTGGAAAGCTAGGCATTGATCCAAATAAGGAATAGCCCTAATCCAAGTAGCACAGCTCATTCAGGCAAATGGAAAGACTGCGCATCCATCCCAAACCTCTCTGCTGACGAAAATTTGGCAATCCACTGAAGCCTGGAAAGTTTTGCCAGCTTACACTGACAAAAGCCTTTTTTTTGCTTAGTCTAGACATTAGGCAGCTTAGCATGGCAGTTAACTTCCAAGTGTGTTCTTTTTTCAGGCTAGTGTCGCCCCAATGGAAGAAAAGCTGAAGCAAGCACAGGCTGAAGTGCAGCAGCTCAGAATCTCTGTCAAAAACTACGAAGGGATGATTGAAAACTACAAATCACAGGTAGGCATCATACCAAAACCTGCAGCAATGACATGTTTCCTCCCTTTACTGTTGTGGCTTATTCTGTAACACCTTAACCCTTTGATCTTGGAGGATGTTGCAGTTTGATATGGGTTTCGTCAATTTGTCTCTATTAGCCTGACTTTTTCTCAGCTGGCAGCATCAAGACTGCCATGTGCTATATGCAGAGTGTGGGAGATTTGCCTTCCTCACTGTGTGCTGATAACTTGGCCATTAGGAAGAGCTGACTCCCATAACTGAGGCCTTGATGAATGAAAAACAAAAGACTGGTTTTAGTATTTCACTTTCCCCAGCTCCTTTTCAAAAGGTAAAGAAAAATAGTGAGATGCTTTTTTTTCTGCCTCTTAGTGTGGCAAGTAGTGTTCCTTGCCTGCTTTTTTGGAGGGATTTTGGATATTGTGATTGTAGGAAGATAAGGCAAAAGGGGGAAGACATTTGGTGGAAAGCCCAGATTATCCAGGTAGCAGAAAGTGAACTTCCAGATACAGTTCTGGGGTGGTGGCTGGTGTGGTAAGAAACTTGTTGCTGATCCTCGAGCATTATATATGACAGATAAAGTATGTGTTGGTTTTTTTCAATTTCCAGATATTAAAGACCCAAATGGAAGCAGAAGATGTGGCAGCAAAACTGGAGATATTTGGTAAAGAGAACAAGGCACTAAAGGAGGAAAAGAATAATGAGATGGATCTGGTAACTATTCCTCTAAACACTGATATGTTGTGTACATGGATCTTACTGTTCTGAATGTAGTGAAAAATGGCTGTGAAGAGCTTGTACTTCTAGTAAAATTGAAGCCAGTGATCCAAAATACTCATTCTCACTTCATCCATAGGGAAGGCCAAATCCTAAGAGAAAGCCTTTTGGAGCCGGAGAAGACCTTAGGCTTCGAACTCCAACACTGGCCAGATACCCACACACAGTGTCACCATGGTTGCATTCTAGCAAAGCTTCACTGAAGTTGAGAAGTGTTTTTAGTCTTGACCTTCTGAACATTTGAACATTCCTCATGTTTTCTTCTTCTCTTCTTTGATTATAGTCATACAAGCAGTTGCAGAGCAGGCTTGCTGAACTGGAGAAGCTGCCTGAGATCCTAAAGATGAAAGAAGCAGAGATAGCAGAATATAGAGAGCAGCTTCAGAACTATGAGAGGAAGAACATCGACTTGTCTGTCCTAATTTCAGATCTTCGTCAGCAGGTAAGGGATGGCAGAAATAACCTGCAGCTCTGCAATCCAGAAGTCTGAGACCAAGATGAATTTCCAGTCGCAGGAAGGTTCAGTCTTCATCTCTGTTCTCATCTTTTTCTGAAAAGATTAAACGTGCACTGCAAAATAAAGGTGTGTGCCATGTCTTTGTGCAAGAAGCTAGCGGCGTAGCTAGTGACATTCCTGACTGTTTGAAAGCTTCCTCATCCCCTGGTCTGCACTTACTACGACTTGAATCACAGCAGTTGCAACCCTTGCTAATGCCAACACTTGCTTCTGTTACTTCCATCACCTTGTCAGCTTTCCCTCTTGTGCTTTTCTGCTGATAGTGCTGCCCCAACCTTGCTTTCTCACCCTGATTTCAGGTTGTTTTCCCCATCCCTGTTTTTTGTCCCCAGGAGGACTCTCTAGGTATTGCAGGACAATTACAACAGGCATGACTTCTACAACCATGCCTCAAGACACAGCAAATGATCTCGCAGTGTGACTGCTTTACTCTGATTGTCTTGGAATTATAAACCTTCCTGGTATTTCAGGCTCTAATGCCTTTGTGGGCTGCTGTCATGTGTATGGCTGCTCTTACTGTGTGTGCTTTGCTGTGCTGACAGGCGGCTGCTCTGCATGCAAGCGTTTACAGACCTGGCTTTTCATTTGCAATATGGAAGAACTTTCTCTTACCTTTCCAAACATTAACTGGAAGCACCAGCAAAATATGGATGTTGAGTGCTTTGCTTTTCTGTCTGCTGTTTCTTTTCTGGCATTCTCCAGAAAGTAAGAATTGAGCTTGTTTCCTTCTGGCAGGCTGCATATACTTTAGGTGGTTGGTCATGTGTGTGTAGTGACTACCCTGTGAAGTAATTACTCACTGTAATTTTTAGATTGAGCTCCAGGGGGACAAAATGGAGATGACAAGGGAGAGGTGTCAGTCTGCCCAGGAGGACAAAAAGCAGCTCACCTTGAAGGTGGAAGAGCTAGAAAGGTTAGAAAAATCAGGCTTTCTTGCTCTTTTAACCTTCCGTTTCCATCCTCTTCACATTGTTTTCTTGCAGGGGATTGAACAGCTTCAGTCTTGTTCCAGCCCCCCATGTGCCTCCAGGATTCTGTGTGTTGGTTTATCCCACAAGGATCTCAAATCAGTAGTTGTCCACTGGAGAGCTGTATGTTTTTGCAGCACATGTTATGAATGTTGTTAGAAAGGATGATGTCTTACACAGCACATAAAACAGCTCCTTGTCCATTCTAGCCTGACGATTTTGAGGTTACTACTTGTTCCAGTAATTTTACCCATGTTTATTAACTCCTTTTAGTAACAATGTCTGGGAACATGCAGGTATGTGGGTACTCTCTCTGTCCTTCAATCTTTGGAATCCTGTATTTGAGAAATGGTGAACTGTGTCTTGGGGTTTTCACCTTTCAAGGAGAAAAAGAATCTTTTCCCAGACTAGTCAGGACCTGACAAAAAGGCAGGCTAGAACACACTCCATTTAAAATGAATAGGTTTCCTTCCCTTATTGTCTTAACCTAGAAAACTCGAGTCAACGAGTGCCCAGAACATAGAATTCCTTCAGGTCATAGCAAAACGGGAGGAGTCAATTCACCAGTGCCAGCTGCGGTTAGACGAGAAGACCCGGGAGTGTAGCTCCTTGGCACGTCAGCTGGAGATGGCCATTGAGGATGCCAAAACACAAGTAAGTAACTTCTTGTGTTTGTGAATTCTCCCAAAACTACCCAGTCTGTAAAAGGAGAAGAGCGAGAATGCTGGAAATACCTCCTCAGCCTGTGACGAAGTTCATTGAAATCATCATGTTCAGTGAAATACAGATAATGTGCTGGTACCGTTTGTCACCACTTCAGCCATTGAAAAACCTGAACTCTGTGCTCCAGTTTGCAGCACAAGAGCTGAAAGCACAAGGCTGAGCTGCTGCTTATATGTGAGAATGTGTCCAGTTAAACTATATTGGGCTTTTGTGGGCAATGGTGTAGGAAAAATGGTTCTTCCATAGACAATCCTTTAACAGAGTTGTTGTGTTGATACGTGTAGGTGGAACAAACCCGAGAACGAGCAACGTCTAGAGAGAGGTCAGCCCAGTCTAAGATGTTGGATTTGGAGACCCAGCTGAGTAGGAATAAGACAGAACTGAACCAGTTGCGTCGGAGCAAAGATGATGTGAGTGACTTGCAGGGGATGCTCTTGCTGTGCTGGTGGTGTCCTGGGCAGCAGCTGGAGTCTGTAAATCAAGGTCCTATGGACATGCTGCAAGTCACACAGAGCTGTGTCTGAATGTGACATGCTGTTGTATGTGTCCTTGACAGATGTGTGCAATGACATGTTATGTCACAGGTTCAAGAGCGGGGACACTCATTTGCTTATTACTTATAGCAATGATCTGAGTGAACTTGCTCTAAACTTACGTAAGTGTAAGAAAAGAATCAGACCTCTGTATTCAAATAAGATTTGCATCAGGTATCATGGACAGATTTCAACTTAATTCACTGTGCTTGGTTATCTGAGAGAGAATGCAACTTCTCTTCTAGAAGAAAGAAGGGTAATCTTTCATAATGTCCTATTTACTCTGCTGCTTGAGTTTTACTTGGAATTGGGTTGACACATGGATCAGGTCAAGTTGCTTTTCAGAGCAGAGTGTGTTTAATTCCCCATAACTATAGCTAATCAGTTTTAAAAGCCCAACTGATTAGCCCCATTGTCTCCTGGTTCGATCAGTGGGTGCTGAATGGAGTTGGAAATGAGCGGAACAAATTATAAATATCATAGCACCATCTATGGTAA